TGCTAGCATCTTGAACATCCCTCAGTGCAAAGGTGGGGAGAAGCAGATGAATGCCATCGGCAGGGAGTGCAGTTGCCCATCTGCGAGAGTGGGGGGATTGTACTGGGAGAGAATGGGAACGATTAGTATATTCCTGTGTCCTTTGACTGCAGTTTACAAATACTACAGAGAAAAGGAGGTGAATACCGTGCTGTGCTTTCAAGGAGGTGTGCTTGGGGTCACCTGCCTGCAATGACTTTAAATTCTGTGATTCTGTGTGTAGAAGGGTGGATGATAATGCAGCAGCGATGGACAGATTGTGCTGCAGCTGCTCAGTACATTATATAAAATGCATTTAAATAAGTTTTTAATTTTTCAGAGTCTTCAGTTTTTTAACTTTTTCCCCCCCTAAGATTTTCAAACTGCTAGGCAGATCAATTTTTCTTGAGGTTGTCCTCAAGCATCACCATGAAGCAGCACTGTCAGGAATGAGTTGTTTTATCTCTGTTTTCTTTTTCTAAAGCCATTTTTTGTAACTTGATCAAGATGTCAGTTTTTATCTCTGTATGTATCATCATGGGTTATTTTCATAATTCTTACAGATTTCCTTAGGGTTTTCTTGGAATGATCATCATTCTGGTGTCTTTGTGTGGACAGAAAATTGTGCTTTGGACTTGAAACAGCTGTGAACTGGTTTCAGGCCTTGCTTCCATATGACATAGAAAGTCATATTTCTGGAATATCTCAAATGCTTTCTTCTTATTAAGATGAGACAGAGACATTCATAACGTCTTATGATGGATCATATGCTGGACAGCCCTTCATGACCTGTGTACCTGGTCTGCTACCTAAGATTTACTGTATAATTTAGATTTGCCTTGAGATATCTCCTAAAGGACATAGCTTATGAGCATCTGCCAATTAGTTCTTCAGTGTCTCGAGGCGTGGCCTCTAATATAGCTTTCTAGAAACTGCTATATTGGTAGAGACAATTGGTTTATTGGGAGTGTGTACTCACTTTCAAGCCTTAGCTAATTTATCATAAAAAGGAAAGCATAATACCTTTTCCTACTTTAATAGTGCTGTTGTGGAAACAAGTATTAATGATAAATGTGAAGGTGCAGTGTTTTTTGTAGTGAGGTGCTTGGAGCTATATTTTTCCTAGTTCTCCATTTCCCATGGCAGTCGTGGCTGTCAGTCTCTTTTCACTTTCCTTCTCACTTCCAGGAGATTTTTCTTGTAATTATCTGAGCTGTAGGGATTAAATGTGCCTAAAGGTATGCTAAAACTAAGATTAGGTTCTACCTCTCTATTAACTACCGAAATCCATGGACTTGTGTTAGCTACATACTGCTGTGAGACTGAGACTCTGAGCCAAGGTCTAAAAAAGGCGATTCTGGGAGGGGCTGGTGGTAATAATTGTTCCACTAGCTTGTTTTCCAGTTTGTACTATAGTCAGTGGGAGTGTGCTACAACGTTAGATCACAAGTCAAGCAGTTGAAAGAGCTAGATCGCATTGTTTCCTAATGCTAGAAAACATCTGGGATTCCGTTTGTCATTCCCACAGGGGAGAAACAACCTAGTCTTTCTGATTTACAAAGGCATCGACTAGTTGTGTTCTGATAGAAGGGATACATACAGAATGATCTTTTTGTCTACTTATTATCTTATTATGTTACACATTTGTCAATGATACATAAATAAATTAGTATCTTCTAATATCTGGCTTCTTGATTCAGCTTAGGTGAACACACATCATGATAAAAAAGACTAGTCCATTTTTCTCTGCTTTTGGATGTGGAAGACAGGACAAGGAGTAAATGGACAATGGAGGCAAATCTCCTTTTCCTGAAGGCAGGTCTCTAAGGCTCTCTCTGTGAAGAGAAGACCCCTTCAAGGGAAAAAAGACTGGTCTTCAGAGAAGATTTCCAGATCTCTCTTAGACAGCTGAGCTGATTGGCTGAATTGCCCATTATGTCAATAAAACATACTCACATATGATGTAAAGTAGGAAAGTAGCACAGTGACTGCTTTTGTTAGAACAGCTCCGAAAGGTGCATTACAGATTGGAGGAATATGTTTGCATGTGAGGGGAAGGGAGCTGCTGTGTGAACACCAGGATAAAGCCTACCTTGAGCAATACAGGGATGTTGCTGCTCCAAGTTGTGGTGAATATTCTGTTCTCTTTATAAATTGTTAAGAATCTTTTACACACAGCATCTTTCTCAAGTACATGCAGCAGTGACTGCTTGGCTGGTGTGACACATAGTTTGATTTGCATCACAGAGCTTTTACTTTGATGCCACCCTTTTACCTCTCCAAGCCTGTTTCATGCAGTTAAGTTTATGATGATTTTTTGCTTTTTGTTTCATAAATCTATTAAATATTGTACTTACTGAAATACTGTACTTAAATCAACAGTAGTAGCTGTCAGTGAAAACATCATTTCAACCGGTGATACTGAAGACATTTAAACATCTCTCACTTCCCCTTTCATATACTATACTTATTTTGCAATAGATGCTCTCATGGATCAGAAGAAAGATGGAGGAAAGAAAAGGCTATACCTTTTTTTTTCTGCAACCTTTTGCTAATTTTTAAGAGTGCTGAAAGGGCAATCAGTGATGGATGATGGCATGGTCTCTGCAGATTTAAGGAGATGAAGGTGAGGCCATGTAGAAAAAAGATTTGAGAAAGATCGGAGTATGTGCCTTTTGGCATAGCAGTTGGGTTAATAGCAAGCAAAAATGGGGATAAGGCTGCTGGAGAGAAAAAAACAGGCTGAAAATGTGTAATGGCTTCTGAGTTACTTTCTTGGTTTTTTTTAAATTATGACAGTCTGTCTGGTATATTTTTTTAATGTACTCGGTGTTCAATAGCTGGTTTTTAAAATGAGACAGGCTGGCCTGTGAAGTAGAGCTGCTTTTCAAAGGAGGGTGGTAGGTGGGGCTTGTTGGTCTCCTCAGTTATGCAAGTAGCTTAAATACAGACAAGAAGCCTCTGAACTGTGCTATGGCAGTGCCATTTCTGAAAAATATAACTTGTCCCAGTTCTTCGCTGCTGATGTTGGCCTAAGAAGCTGTCAGTGAACTGCCATGTAGAGAACCCCATTTTTGAGAGAGCCAAAATCGGGCAGGATGTAGAAGTTGTCATCCATTGCAAGCCCAAGTCTCATCTTGCCCTTTTCATTTTCAGCTGCTTTGAAGAAAGCAGCTTTGAAAGGGTTCTTTGACCTATCAAAAGATATTCTTTACAACCTCCCATACTGATTTTCCTGCAGGGAGCGAGCACTCCTTATCCTGCTTTACCTTGAGCATCTTGACTGCTGTCAAGGGCTACGCTGCATCTGTGGTTGCCTTTCCCTAGTGTCTGCTTTTTTCAGTCTGTTGGTATGAAACACTTTAGCCCTTGGCTTTATTGTTTCTCCTCATTTGCCAAAGCAATGAAAAAAAAAAAGCTGAGTTGCAGTCTTTGCTTGGTGTCATTGTGGCTCTCAGTATCAGAAATAAAAATGGTTGCTTAAAATTTTATGTTAAGAAAAAGCTGTACTAATAGGGAAAAAAAAAAAAGGTGTTTTAATTACAAAAAAAAGTCAACTTGTTCTTATGGTAGCAAAACAATGTTTTTGTCCCAATGTTGTCTGCAGAAACTACAATTTTTTGTAATATTAAATTAAAGCAGTTGCATAACTGTGCTCTTACTGCTGACATCGGGTCCTTTCATTAGGACTCCCAGGCAAAACTACTGTTTCTGTGCCAGAGTTCAATTGTGTTTGAAACTCATGTAAGCTATATTGGTGAAAGCAATGATTTCTACTCTTTCATTTGATTATGGAAATTTAAAAATTTGCCACAGAAAACAGCTCTGTTTTTCTACAGAATTATTTCTCCCCTACACCATGCTGCTTCTTGTTTTTCTTCAGTGTAAATGAGTAGTCAGTAAAGTACCTGTAGTTGTTCTACAGCTTTTAAAATACTTTAATATGTAGTAAAATATATTCCAAATCCCCTGTATTCAAAGCAAAAGGAGGAGTGCCTCGCTGTTACTACTTCTGACACCACTGAAATCCTTCAGTTTGAACTGTTTCTTTTCTGGATTTTGTGATTAATTCATTAGTGCTATTTATGCATAAAGGTGATTAAAAAAATGTAGCAAGAAAGAGCTAGCACTGAATTTCAAACCTTGATTTTGCTTTAGGTTACATGTATTAATGTTCACTATTCTTAACATTTTGATGATGCTCCTTATTCTGTTGTTTTTTCCATTGATATGTTCTGGATATATTATTAATATATCAATATATGCAAATATATTAATATATTTCACATATAAAATATAATATAAATTATATATATCAATATAAAATATAATATAAATCTCACAGTAGATGTGAGATTTTTGTAAGAGCAAATCAGTCTTGAAATAGTTAAGGACTTCTTCCTTTCTTCTGGGTTGCTTTTTAACACAAATATTTTGGCACACAATGGTGTGTTCCATGTATGGTGGAAAAGGATGCATCCGTCTGTCACAGGTGATTTAGCGGTATGTAAGAGGAACAGAGTTATTTCCAATTGTAAGGAATTATCTCAGTCATGAAGCTCAAATTCTGGCCTTCAAGGATGGCCTTTAAAATGTTTTCAGTCCTTAGCATGACTAATTACTGTCAAGAAAGGAAGATGCTACTACCAGTACCAGTAGTCATACCAAATGTGTGCACCTTGTGGATGAAACTAGGATGAGGACCAAGACCTGAATTTTAGCATTTGCATTTCATTGAATATAAATGTATTTGTTTCTGTTGTTGTTACTTCTATTGCAGATTAGATGTAGACATTATTTTCCCACCTCGAGGTTGGAAGTTGCACTCCATTGAAAATGGCTGACTTGTACAGAGGGAGTAGGACTTGGTACAGTGGGGAACATGAAGATAGGAGCCTATATACTCTAACGGAGTCTCATCTTCTCCACCATCTAGAAGTTCCATTGAAAGGAAGCTTTGAAGGTTGCAAGACAAGTCCAAGATGTGCAGCTCAGTTGGTTCCAGGCTGTGGTTCTTAACAGACCGTCGCATCAGAGAAGATTACCCTCAGCAGGAGATCCTGAGAGCACTGAAGGCCAAGTGCTGTGAAGAGGAGCTAGATTTCCGGGCCCTAGTGATGGATGAAGTGGTGCTGACCATTGAAGATGGAAATCTTGGTGAGAATCAGCTAAGAATGTGCTGAAAGGGTACTTGAAAAAATGTTGTAAATGGGGCATCTGTACTCTTGAATAATGAATTCCAAGTGTGCCAGGCTACTATACATCATCTAAATTGTATAGATGTATGTGTTCTTTAGCATTTATTGGAGTAATCAAATATAATGGTTAACTTTGTTAGTTTGCATTAGAATTATTTTTGCCTTGCCTCTGTAGAGCAGAGAAGAGGGCAGCCTTAGTGTGTTGATTCCTCTGGACCTCTGAATTAAGAAGAAATTACAGTTTCATTTTTGCATAGGTATTTTAAGTTTGTGAGTCACATTTAAGAATTCTGGGGGGACTTTTTTCTTCTGTTTGTATTCTGTCTCCAAGATAGCAAACACAGCTGAGATAGGTTAAAAGGAATTTTCAGTGGACAGTACAAATTATTGTAGAGCTGAAGATACTAATGTGGCATAACTAAAGCAGGCTGCTCTCCAGGTGTGTAATTATGTAAATGCCAAAAAAGAACAGGGCTGAAAAACAACGTATGTGCATCAGGGTAATTTGAACAGCTTGCAGTGTTTTAAACTAAATTTAAAGATTTCTGTTCTGTTTTCCTATTTTTTTTTCTGTGCTTATGAAAAAGGAAAAGAAAGATGTTAAGGTGTGTTAGAAATGTTAAGTAAAATGATGCTGTAAATAGTAAGCTTATGTTATAGGAAGAATATTAATACCACCAGTGAAACACTTGTAATTTTTCCCCCCAACTTTTTAATTTAACTTTCCTAAAGGAAGGAGACTGCAGTGTTGTTTTGTTCCTTCTTCCATTTTGCTTCTCCATGTAGCATAAGAAGTATGAATGGAGATCTAGGGAAGAATTACATTTCTGAAACTTGTGTTAGAGTAATTCTTTGTGGGAAGAAAATAGAAAAGGACTCAGCCCTGAAGAAGAGCTGCTGTATGAGCTTATACCGTTTTCATTACTATCTATATAGGAGGGAAATCTTAAAACTGACTTCAGAGAAGGAGTTTGGTCAGAATTTGTAGTTTGATGCAGCATTAATCAGTCAAGGATAAAACAATTGCATGGGAAAACAGGTGTTTTGATTCTGCTATTTCTAAACATTTATGTATCTTGTGTGTTATTCTGAGGTGTCTATGATTTTTATCAGAGGCTTGAAATTCTATATTATGTCTTCAAGTCAGGGAAACTTCTTGTCAGAAAGTCTGAACATCTAATTACCCTTAGCATGCTGTCCTTTGGACAGCATGTGTGGAGGCAGCCCTCCTGGACTGCAGCTGCAGCCTTTAAGGTGCATAATTGGTTCTTCAGCATTTCAGTATTGTTTTATTACTTGGTGATGTTTTCTTCTTTCCTGTCTTCTGCCTGGTTTTGGGGAATTAAATATGGCTTTCCTGCTCTCTTCCATCTATTCCAAGAAGAAAAGATAAAGTATGCAAGTTGGAAAACCAACCCTGAGCAATGTGTAGCACAAGAATGAGAAAATTAAGGAAGTTATTAGAAAGAGAATGCAAAAAAGTAGATGTTTTTGATAAAAAGTGTTCATGACTATGTAAAAAACCTTACCTTCTCTAAAGGAGTGAAACAAAAATGCTGAAAGATTGTAGAAGTTTATTTACAAATAATCTGGACTAATTGAGATTTTTTTTTGGAGGGGGAACTGTCTTATATGAAACAATTCTTTCTCTTGGAGAGATGGAAAATCTTCCCTCTTAATTTTTCAGTTTTCTTTTTGCTAGTGCTTGCATACGTGTCTTGATACAGATTTCTGGTAGATGACACAGCTAGAAGTTTTGTGTTTCATTTTCCTCATTGAAGTCCTCAGTTGCATAGGAAAACGTTTCCTGGAACAAAATCCAGGAGGTAGTGCATTCTGTACAGTTTCTGTTATCTACTGTTGTATGATGGGTCCAGGTTGGGTAAAATTTTGTACAACATAGAGGATTTGATTAAGATAATGTATCTTCAGTGGATGATAATCTGCTTTTGCTTCCACTTCTACTGTTACCTGTGTTGAAAGCTTAGCAATACAGGGCTCAAACTCTGAGGGTAATTGGAGGAAGTAATAGATTTTCACCCATTTTGTGGTCACCCAGTTGCTAGCTCTAGTAGACCAGGGCAGGGGAGAGTGGGGTTGCTCTTTCAGGAGTGGCACATACTTATGTTGATTTAGTTGTGGCTTCAAGGCGTACTGTAAATCAGGCATTTTCCTGTGGTTGGGATGTAAGTTGATAGTGTCAGTTTAGGAATTTTGTGCGTGTTTCTTTGAAGCATCTGGTATTCACTGCTGTAAGGTGACTGCTAGATTGTGCCATGAAATGGGTAGTTTGGCATCTAGTTTGGCAATTCCTATATTCATTTGAAATATATAGCAGGTAATTTAACAAAACTGCATGATGCTTTCAGGCACACAACTGAAGTCTTACCAGTAAGTTCTGTTAAAATGTGTGATTTTAAACTATTTGTCCATGTTTACTAGTGCAGTGATATAACAAGCTTGGGGAATTTGAAGCTAAACAAACTGAAGTTTGTGAGCAGGAGTGTGCATGGTGGGTTGAGGATGAAGGTGGAGGAATCCTGTAGGGAATAAGCATGCTAATGGACAAGAGACAGAAGATAATTCATTGTATCTCTGCTGTTTCTGAATAGACCACTCTTCTCACCTAAGAAACTAGCTTAGCAGTAACCTTCCTCACAGACTACACACCTTATGTGTGCAGAAACACAGTTGAAGAACATGGTAGGGAAGTTTGGATCTTTCCTTCATTAAAATGATATACAAGAGTGTCTTAATTAAAATTTTTAGCTATCAGAATAGCAGAAGTTGAAGATCATTGAGCCAGCAACTTAACAATTCCTTTATTGTAGAGTTTTGGAATCTGTATTTTCTGATACTGTCATATGAAGTAAAATGGCTTTAAGTAAAGTTGCTTTCATGAACTTTCAACTGTTGAAGATTGTGAGTGAACTTGGAGTGTCCTAAAGCATAAGAGAAAGTGTAAACTTTTCCTAAGACTTTAGGAATGCAAAAGCAAGTGATCAGCCAAGGTGAGGAATAAAAAGGACACAATAGTCATGTGTCCTTAAACAATAATACTTTGTGGGCACTGCCTTTCTTTCTATGGATGACATCTGGGAACTGGTCTCTTGTCTTCATTTCTTCTGTAGAGGAAGCATTTAGGAGACGGATTATTTTAGCTTGGTAATGGTTGCTGGTGTGCTGGTTTAGGCATCTGAGTTTCTTCTGTGGGCCTGAAATTGCCAAAATTAGTCACTATTTTGGTTACCTCTTTATTCTTGCACAATCTGGTTTTGTTTCATATGATCTGTCCTTCATTTCTGATTTGTTCTGAATTAACGACATGTAGTTGTGATCTTTGGGTTTTTTTCTCCTGGCAGTGGGTTAGATAGCTTTGGAAATGAACATGGGGGAATCAAGAAAGTGAAAAGATTTCTGTATAGAAAGCTGGGGAAAAAAGGGTAAGGTTGGATAACACATTCCTGTGTTTGCAGTGTGATGGTAAGAAAATCACTCTGTCAACTAGATCTATTATAAGGGAGGGCTTTTGCATCTGTGACAGGTGCTATATAAAAAATTATAATATTTTGAAATAATCTTTAAGTCACCTAAAGACTGTCTTCTGTTGCACAATAGGGAAAGTAATCACCTCCTTTTCCTGCTGACTGTTTCAGCAGTCCCCTTGGACTTTCTAGTCCAGCAGTGCACCTCACTGTGAGAGCTTTTCCTGTGGTGTGCAGCAGTGACTGGGAGTGATGGAGCGGAGGCAACTGGCCTTGGCAAGGTGCCTTGTTGAGCAGTGCAGATTTGGCCTGTTTCCTGCTACTGACAACAGCCAGAGCAGCCATTTCTTCCTCTGCAGAGTTGGGGAATGAGTTTGCAACTCAGTGAGAGCTGGAGTAGAAACTGCATTTTGTACAAAGGACTGGAAGGTGGTTAGATGTGAGGTGAATTTTTTGTTGTTGAAAGTGCTGGCTCAGAGCCACTTGAAACTGTTTTTAATATTCTTCCATTGTAGAAAGCAGTCACTTGTCAGGCATAAGCATTGCTACTAGGCAGTTATGGACTATATAAAGGGGATTCTGGAACATTCAATACCTCCAAGACAACTCTAATAAAAAAACTCCCAAAATTCAAACGTTTACCTTATTAACCTAGAAACGTTTTAATAGCAGAGCCTTTCAACAGCTGCCACATGTTTTAGGAAAAATTGTTTTAATTCAGAACTGTGACACCAAAGACAGCTTTCTTATCATGTATATGGGAAGAAAGGACCCTGGGTGAACTTGCAGCTTTCTTCCTTACTATTGGGGATTTCTATACTTACATGAATGATTGTTTTTATCTAAAGCGGATTATAAATAATGAAGGCTAATGATTAATTTAATCTTCTCAAAATCATTCTGTTTTTTCAGTAAATATCAGCATGTCATCAGAGGTAGATATAGGCTTAGTCTAAAGCTACCTTTGCAAGATGGAGAAGTAGGAATGTTTCTTCATGGTAATATTTTATTATGGTCTTTTTAGAGGGCTATGTTAAGGACTAAAGTTTTTCATTTGCATTTGTTCTAGAATAGTCAGCCAGGAGGATCAGACTTGTAGGGCACATCATCTTGAACATATATGCATGTCATCATATCTGAAACTGCCAGAAAACATTGCCAGATTTGTAATTGTTGTAAGAATGCTCAAGAATGGCCATCTGGAGAGAAAACGTAAAAAAGACAAAAGTGAGATGGAAGAGGTGCTTCCATACATCACAGTAAAAAAATGAAAATTAGCCTAGTAGTTCACATGACAGTCCTCAACTGGCTGAGGATTTCTATGTCACTTTTCCAACCAGCCCTGTTCCAGCTCTTTGTCACCTAAGTGAGCTGTGCTGGCACAGTTGTCTGAGCATTTGTATTGTGAACCAGTTCTGCATACTGGTGTAGTTTTATAGCCAAATCAGCCTCTTCTTAGTGGAAGGTTTATTTT